TTTTTGTTAGAAAGGGTAATTCTAGTAGATATATGTTAAAATTAGAGACTAACCTATTCACCTCCTCTAGATCTAACGTGCAATTCCTCGTGTATAATAGAATGAAAAGATGCTTGAAATTATCTATAATAACATCAAAAAATTATTATTTTATTTTAATGCATTGGCCACCTAGAAGTAATTACATATATATATAAGGATAAAAATAATTAAAGAAAACTAATATGTCTCTAATAAAAGTCTTGTCCTAAAGAGACCTATTAGAACTCTTATACATGTGTTTTAAATGGAATAATATTGTTGGATAGGAAACCCTAGAAGACCAAAGTAAGTGGCAGCAAATAAAAAAATATCTATATATATATACACGTGAGAGAGAGAGAGAGAGACTGAAGGAAGAAAAGAAGAACATAAAAGAAAACAAAAAAGATTTGATCCATTGAAGGTATGAATTCATTAACTATTTGATGGATTTTGTATTCTATTAAATTACATGGTATTAGGTTTATTATAAATAGTAATAATGAATACACACACACACATATATATTGATGAAAAATATTGAGGAATATGTAAATGAGTTTTATTGAAAGTTGTTAAGTTAGGTGTTTTTAGATTTAATTTAGATTTGTTGGTTTTGAAGTTGTTTAAGAAATTTAATCAATGTGTCAAGAGGACAAAAAAAAGGGAGAAGGAAGTTACTGGTTTTAGAGTTTTCGCATGAAGAAGACGGTGAAAGTATGAAATTATGAAAAGCTCTCCTTTAGTTTTAAAAATTTTTATTTTAACCCTTATATTCTTCTAAACTTAATTTTAATTACTGTTTTACTTGGTAAGTTGAAAAAATAGAAATTTTGAAGATTTATGGCAGTCCAGAAAACAAAAAATTCATTTTTCAAAGAAATTATATTTTGACCCAAAAGTTTCAAAAACTATATTTGACCCCAAAACTTTAGAAACTTTTTCTAAACAGCCCAAAAGACTTCTATACCCTATTACCTCGTATTAGAAAAGATATTTATACGTAAATGATGTATTAAGTATATACCAATGGATAGGAAGTACAAAAATTACAGATAGAATTACAAAATGACAAAGTTAGGAGTAAGGATTGATCGTTATATGTTATTTTGGATTAGACAATGATTGCATTGAACTTGAGAAAGAGAGTTTTGAATTGGATTTTAAGAATTAAGGTGAGTAGTTATTACTTCTTTTGGAAGGATTTTTTATATTAAATATGTGGGTGCGTGCGTGTAGACTTTTCATATATATGATGCATGTGTTGATATTTGGGGTTGCAATTAAATATTTTGCAATTGTGAACTATTATACATGTGAATTTTGAAAAACTTGTGGAAAGATTTTATATCATTGCTTTGTTGATGAAAGGAAAATTTTGTGTGCATTGGGACTAAAACTACCGGTGTAATCGGTATAAGGGTGTGCACCTAGGGGCCAGTCATTAGGCTAGTGATGACAAGAGACGGGATTAGTTATCAAGCTAGTGATAACAAACATGATTTGACAAATGTATTTGAAACTGAATGTGTGTGTGAGTGTTTTAACTTTATAAATGAAGTTATTTGTGAAAATAAGTGGTAAAGTTGTTTGTGAAAATAAATGGTGTTTAGGGTTATAAATATCTTTTTATTTATAAAGTTATTTGTGATCATGAGATAATTTTGTTTAAATGATTATGTGAGAGGAGTTGGGGTGTAATTTGTTGCATTTATGCATGTATCAAAGTTTATTCTTGTTTATAAACTGCATAATTTATTTTCACACCTTATTAGAGGTGGTTGCTGTTCATGAGTGATTGTCCTCATCCAAACATTTAACATTTTTCAGGAGAGGATTATAGTGAGGAGTAAGTTTGCGGATATACAAGGGATTAGAAGACTTGAAGATTGATTTTACTATAGATCTTCAGGAATAAATGTCTTTTATAGTTTTGAAACAAATGTTTAATTGTTTTGGGAATAATATTGCTTATGTTTAGAGTAGTGAACATTACGATTTAATTATTGTTTTATATGAATTTAGTAATAATGTTGGTGATGTTTAATTTATTTATCTGGTATTCATTAGGTCGATAAATTGAATAACTTTATTGTCTTTTGCTGTATTTTGCATTTATTATGTCCATGGTTGGTTAAGGCCTTGGTGGCCAGTCCGCCGCCCACCCTATGTGATCCGGGGTGGGGGTGCGACAATGCTACACGTAAAGTGTTGTATTTTCCCCAAAAGGTTGATGTTGTAATTGTTTAAGAGCTTTAAGGGAACCCAGATTGTGTTTGTGATTTATAATCTATTTGATTGTTGTGACAATTAAGAAAGAAAAATAAAAAAGGAACGAAATTTGGAATTTTTGGTATTTGTCATAGAAATTCTCTGCTGGGTTAAAGTAAAAACTGATGAAAATGACTTGTTCTTGACTTTCTTGGTGTCTCTACTTGTCTAACCGGACTATCTCGCAATTGGGTAAAGTAATTTATCTAATGCTCACTTCAATTTTTTATTTTTTTTGTTTTTGTATTGGGCACGGTCTATTATTTAGATAACTATTCTGGTTAGGTGCTGAGGAAATTTAGGAAAAAAGGAAAAGGGATCAAAAACTTGAATGTGTTGTTCTGTGTCATACAAAGTCTTTATATGGTTGTTGAGAAAACCGAGGAAAATGACATCTTAATGTCTTACGGTGTGGTGTATTATAAAATTGGTATATGTTTGGTTGTTGAGAAGGCTGAGAGACATCAAAGACAATGTAAGTTTGAATTCTATGCTTGATGTTGTTGAAGTTCCTTATGGGAAGTTACCTCAATTGAACAAGACTTAACTGAGTGGAGATATTCTATTTCTTGACTTTTTCCAAAACATGTGAGTGGTCCAAGTGGAGATATTTCTTGTGTTTGAGTTNTCCTAAAGAGACCTATTAGAACTCTTATACATGTGTTTTAAATGGAATAATATTGTTGGATAGGAAACCCTAGAAGACCAAAGTAAGTGGCAGCAAATAAAAAAATATCTATATATATATACACGTGAGAGAGAGAGAGAGAGACTGAAGGAAGAAAAGAAGAACATAAAAGAAAACAAAAAAGATTTGATCCATTGAAGGTATGAATTCATTAACTATTTGATGGATTTTGTATTCTATTAAATTACATGGTATTAGGTTTATTATAAATAGTAATAATGAATACACACACACATNGGTTCAATTGTATTTGTTAAATTTGTTGTATGTTGCATCTGAGTATTACGGGCGATTTGGAATTTTGGATGCTATCTATGCGAGGCTAGAGTTTTTATTTAAATAGAGCTTCGCTGGCATGAGGTGTACCTNTTTCAATTGTATTTGTTAAATTTGTTGTATGTTGCATCTGAGTATTACGGGCGATTTGGAATTTTGGATGCTGTCTATGCGAGGCTAGAGTTTTTATTTAAATAGAGCTTCGCTGGCATGAGGTGTACCTCTAAATATGCCATGGAGCGTCATGCTTAAGCTTCAGATTTTAAAAACCGATTAACATTTTACCTACATCTAGATATGATTGTTTATCTTATTGCTCATATTTTTAATTTTTTTTTTTANAAAATTATGAAAAGCTCTCCTTTAGTTTTAAAAATTTTTATTTTAACCCTTATATTCTTCTAAACTTAATTTTAATCACTGTTTTACTTGGTAAGTTGAAAAAATAGAAATTTTGAAGATTTATGGCAGTCCAGAAAACAAAAAATTCATTTTTCAAAGAAATTATATTTTGACCCAAAAGTTTCAAAAACTATATTTGACCCCAAAACTTTAGAAACTTTTTCTAAACAGCCCAAAAGACTTCTATACCCTATTACCTCGTATTAGAAAAGATATTTATACGTAAATGATGTATTAAGTATATACCAATGGATAGGAAGTACAAAAATTACAGATAGANGAACAGATAATAGAACCAATCCGATACAACCATTTAAAAGTGGAAGTAGCAGAAAGACCTATATACTCACACACACACATCCAAAGCTATCTGATGTGGGATAGCCCATATTTTAATTTTTTAACTACAGTAATTCCTTCTATTTATATTTAACCATAATAAATATTTTAACCCCAATTAACATTTTAACCACTCACTTTCATTTTAGCTACACTAAAAAGACGTGATTTGCACACCGTTCACTCTAGTCTCTAAATGTGCCATGGTGGTGGATGTTAGGTGAATTATCTCTACCACCCTAGGCTAATGGTGGCTTGAGGATATTATTGTGCCCATCTTGAGTTGGTGGTACCCTATCTTTTGGAGCATCGAACGATTTTTATGGCAGGCAAGCTGGATTTCATCACTTCTTAGTAACACTTGTGGTATTGCAGTCCCCGCACCTTCGTCATGGTCATGGACATGTGTTCTTCCCCAAGTGATTTGGGACAAGGGGAGCTGAAAGGACGAGAGGAATGCAAATGGAAAAAGGAAAGGTTGGTTGAGGTTGTGAGGGATGGCAGTCGCCAAGAAAGGTTGGTTGACTGTGAATCCCTTTATCAACGCTCATTCATTTTAGTTTGGAAGAGAAAACATGTTAGGTTTACATAAAAATGAATGACCAAAAACATTATTTTCATCCATGTTTTGGTTTAGTATTATCTAGTCAATGGAGACTAGAATCTGAGACACTGATCACTAGCCATAAATTTGGAAACATGAATGAATCAATCTGTTGGTCCAGTATTATCGTATGGTTCGTAGTCAATGGAGACTAGAACATGAGACACACACTAACGGATTTGAAAACAAGAATGAAATCAATGTCAGATTATCTCTGCAAACGACTAAAGAAATTATTAGATAAATAAACATCAAATTAATTGTATAGCTCGTACTCAATGGAGACTAGAGCCTGAGACACTGATACATACTCATAATTATTAGACAAACAAACATCAAATAAATTGTTCTCAATTTGAAATCGGAGTGGGGATGCAACTTTGACATTGATCACCCTTGCTAGTATTGTGGCTTAGAGCATTCAGGTGGCATCTGTCCGTTGAATCGCTTAGTATCTTTGCAGTAATCATAGATCATGTGGTTATCTCTAACCCATTTCATCTGACCTAGCTTAGCATAGCTCAGTTGTCCGTATACTGGAGAGGTCCACCAGTTGGCAGGGGAAGGGGAGGCACATTGTGTAATGCTAACAGGTCCATCCCACTTGCAAGCCCTTGGCCTAAAGTTACGGAACCTGGCTATGAAGGGTGCACTGTACCAGTCAATCTTAACGAGGCCACCTTTAGTTGCCCAGTTATCTGCATTCCACAAGCTGGAGTATACCCTCATCCCTTGTTGGTTTGGGTAGGCAATCCCCTCACTCTGATAGTTTCTGAAAACTCGAATTGGCAGACCATCAACGTACCAACTGAAACCACAACGATGGCTATTAGGTTGGGGAGTTTTTGGCTTTTGAATCGATATGGACTAAGTTCTTAAACTTTTAATCAGTTTGGAAACCGACAGTTTTAACTTATAAGCACCAAGAGTTGGACTAAGGATTAAAATTTCGTTCAGTTTTCACCAAAACGATGGAAACATTTCAGTTTCCATGGCATTCAGTTTCAGTGTTGGAATATAGAAACTCCCGTGCTTTGTTTCTTGAAGTTTAAAATTCTAATCTTTTTTATCTCTCTCGTCATTTTGTTTTCGAAGTATTTCCCAGCTTTCCGAAAATATGCACGAAACATAATTTTGATTCTTGAGCTGAGTAAAATATGTTTGGCACAAAGTTTATGCGTTTAGTCAGGAATCCAGACAACAAAGGAATGATGATTCATGTTTGCTTGGGTAAAGTTTTTCGAAATTTCTGGTGGATATTTCTCTTTGAAATAGAAAAGATAAAGTAGAGGTGCTACCTAAACTGAAGAGACGTGCTCAAATTAGGTTAACTTACACAATTTCTGAGGGGTTCCAATGTATGGTGTAGTTGTGGAAATCTGCAGTTGGGTCAAACCATGGGTAGAATTGCTGCTCTCTGTTTCCAATTCCTTGAGTGTAGATGTTTGTGTGGATGATATAAGGTTGTCCTGATAAGTTCCCTAAGAATTCAAAGTCGATCTCATCATGCTTTGTCCCAGTAGAGGAAATCTGCCAACATTCAACAAAAAGTAATTAGCCATCATGCTTGGGATCTCCATGTCTCACTGTGGAACGGGAGTATATTTTTGTTTGGAGACCTAGTATTTTTCGAGAAGGTTTATAATCAAAGGGGAGTTGGGTACGCTACTCTTGTAGTGCTGCACATTGTGGCGATACGGCTCGACTTGAACCCGGGTGTAACATTCGGTTGTGAACTGGCACACCTCCTTGGTCTAGAGACCTAGTATTTGAAGATCATATATTTGCACTTACATAATATGCTGTAACAGTTCCTGCAGAGTTCCCAGGTACCAGTTTGATTAGCATCTCAATGCTTCCGAATAGGAATGCTTTCTTTGATTGGACACCTGAACCTGGAAAACAAAGGCAAGTAGTAGTCTGTTTAGAACTGAGATTCTAGGACAAGTTTGGATCGGTAACTTTAACGTATCAAAATCACATGTTGTAGATAATCTCCCAGTCAAATTACCAATCTCCAGGGTCTGTTTGTCATTTAAGTAACCATTGGTTAATTGATGCCTATGATGTGATTGACAGATTGCAGAATTCTTTCCAGTGGTAAATAACATGTTTGGACTGTCTACTCGTGTGTCCTTTCACTCTGGGTAGTTTGTAGAAGGCATCAAAACACACATCATGAGAAACTGTAACCTGTGGATTAATACGTCCTATTACGGATTGGTTACCATAAGGCAAGCCTTGACCAACTGGTGATTCAAGTATGACTATTATGACCTCATAAATCCAAACATCTGATGCTTCTTTCAAAGATGCCATGTCCTGAAACGAATGACTTAATCTATCCCAGTTATAGCCAAGTACATTTATCTGATCTCTCCATTTGCTGACAATGATTATACAACATTGCCACCTTTTAGTGTAGATGTGTAATATGTTTGTTGCGATAACTTATTTACCCGAAAAAAGAATGCTGCAGGAATATGTTATGATGCAGGCACGTTATATTTTCTTTGCTGATTTTTTCTGGGATCATACGTGCCTAATTGCTTTCATTGTAAGACTTCTAGACCCCAGTGATCATGAAGTGCAGAAAATTGGTATTTGAGATCATAAAGTGGAGTGTTGAAGTTAAATGTGTGAGAAGCCAAGGATATTTACCTGAAGTTCTGTCTAACACAAGTTGAAGATCATCGCCATTGCCCAGAATTGAAGAATGCTGAGCGCCCCAAGTGAAGTACATGCTCTTTGAAAATTTACCATCAACTAAACCTGAATGAAATGCAATTGCTGAGATGAAAAGAGCAACAGATAAAGTTTGAAAGCTTGCCATTCCAACCCAGTGAATGAATTTCTTCTTTGCTTCTTTTACTGTGTTGAGTTGGTAATGGAATTCTTTTGTTCTATGTTTTTGATTCCTTATATAGCTCATAACCACCAAGTATGCCTTACTGAGTTGAACACTGTTTTGATTCTTTTGTGTCAGTTTTTATAAAACCTTGACCTTTTCATGGTACTTTATTTAATGATATTCCTACTTTCATAACTAAACCTTCATAAAGTTTGTTCAAGGGTAAATTACATTTACACATCCTAAACTATCACACGTTTTCTACTTTGCCCCCTCAACTACTAGATTTCTCACATTGCTCCCTAAACTAACATTTCTGTNTTTTGTTCAAGGGTAAATTACATTTACACATCCTAAACTATCACACGTTTTCCACTTTGCCCCCTCAACTACTAGATTTCTCACATTGCTCCCTAAACTAACATTTCTGTTTCACATTGTCTCAATCGATAACTGGCGTCACACAGTTAACGAAATAGCAGGGCAAACTTGGCAATCCAAGAAAAAAGAATGGAGGGAAACTAGTCTAAGCTTCCCAACATGGATGCACTTTGTTGTGGGAAGAGAACATTATTGAAGACATCGTGGATGGAATTGAACCCATGAAGAAGGTTCCTTGCTTGCGATAATCATCATGTGAGGTTTATTCAATAATTAATCTACTTTTTCTGGAAATTCTGATTATAGTCACCTCCTCATTTTTGTAGGAAGGTAGAGGATGTGGGTAGTTTGCTTGGTTTGACCCACCCATATACAATCGATCTCGCAACATTATACCCAATCTTCTTCAAAGGTTATCATATGTCAAATAGCAGCTTGAAAGGAGAAAAGCACGAGAGAGAGGGGTTGCGGATGGCTTTGGTTGCAACTTGCCTGCTTATTTTTCTGATACTTGGTGCTGCTAGAGAAGGTCTCCAGCAAAGGATATATAAGTACATTAGATGTTCCAGTTCTTGTTGGAAAATTTGGAAGTTGTAACATTCTGAATATGTACTAACTGCATTGATGGTTGGTGTATATATTGTGGTTATAACATTTTGTTGTAATGATATGTATGTTAGTTTTTTATGATCCTTAGTACTGCTTATTGGAGATTTTTTTCTTGTGTTTTGTCATAAACCAAGCAACCCAGTAGACAATTAGGCATCTATAAAAACTAGAATGTGTGATGGCAGTTATTGGTTGGGGCAATGTGAAATAGAAATATTAGTTTAGGGTGCAATGTGAGAAATCTGGTAGTTGAAGGGGCAAAGTAAAAATGTGTGATAGTTTAGGGGATATAAATGTAATTTACTCTTTGTTTAATTCAAAACTGATCCATTTATAGCCGTTTATAATTGGCTTCATGTCATGCCAAGGTTGTATTGGGTATAAGAGCGACCCTCCATAGCACCACTTCTCACATATTTGAAGTTGCATAGTTTTGTTACATTCTTTCTGTTCAAGGTGAAGCTAATCATTTGTATGCCTGTACCCCAGCTGGGATTCAGTGGGAAAGGAAGCAAACGTGCATGAGACTAATGGAAGGGTACTTGGCTAGCTGTGATGAGCTATTGAGAAAGATGGTANTAGAGCGACCCGCCATAGCACCACTTCTAACATATTTGAAGTTGCATTGTTTTGTTACATTCTTTCTGTTCAAGGTGAAGCTAATCATTTGTATGCCTGTACCCCAGCTGGGATTCAGTGGGAAAGGAAGCAAACGTGCATGAGACTAATGGAAGGGTACTTGGCTAGCTGTGATGAGCTATTGAGAAAGATGGTAGACCATTGACGTGCACACCTCGACTTATTTTGTTGCAAAGGCTATTTTAATCTCCAGTAATATAATTCCCAAAGCAGAGCCTGTAAATACTTAGGAGTAGTTTCGTGGTTAGCCACCCTTATTCTTTAGAAATATACTCTTATTTTGCTTATGTCACGGTGGTCACTTCCATGCTTGAAAGAGTAGTCGGTGTAAGTTTGGACACCTTATAACAAAAAAAAATATAATAAAAAACAAAGCTGAGACTATAATTGAGGCTTGAATTATGCAAACTTGGTTCAATTTTTAAGCTCGTTTTTTATTTTAGCTTGATAATTTTCCACCCATTTGAATCATTCNCGAAAGAGTTGTCGGTGTAAGTTTGGACACCCTATAACAAAAAAAAATAAAATAAAAAACAAATCTGAGACTATAATTGAGGCTTGAATTATGCAAACTTGGTTCAATTTTTAAGCTCGTTTTTTATTTTAGCTTGATAATTTTCCACCCATTTGAATCATTCTGTCCAAGGGTAGGAGAAACTATTCACCGTATCAATTATATCATGCTATCAGTATTGTATGATGTCACTGTTTAATAATAAATTAATTAGGGATAACTCGTGTCTGAAGGCACGGTGCAACATAAATTAACCAATTAATTTGAAAAATTAAAGAGTAAAGATCTCTGAGAGCAGTGACAGAACCAAAAATATGATTTAAGGTGGATACACTTTAAGTATAATAGATAAAAATAGTGTGATATATTTATATTTTTTATATTAAATTTGATACTTAAAAATTCATTAAACATAAAAAAGGGTCTATTTGAAAAAAATTAATATGATTACATCTATACATTAAGGATCAATAATATAATTTATTTGATACAAATAAAAACAATTTTCTATAATTTTTAATCTTTTTATAGATTTTATATTTTACTCATTTTTGGTCATATATTCTATAATTTTTGAACCTAAGGAGACTATAACAAATCATAACAATACTCTAAAGAATCAATTTTATTTTGCGAATTTTAAGAGATTTGGTATAGGCTTTTTGTTTTTGTTTTTTTGTTCCAGTACCCAACTTGTTTGATCCAATTAATTTGGTTTTTCATAAATCATTACAGTGGGCTCAACTAATCTAAAAAAAATATATAAAACATATATAATTAAAAAATATATTTTTTTTCAGGGTGACCTCAGCCCATCCTCCCTCCACCACTGCCAGAGAAAGAGAGTGAAGAGTGAGAAGAGGAAGGTAAAATTTAATATAAATAGTATTGAAAGAGAAGTTGTTGGCCGTTGGATGAGTTTATTTAAAACTGTCGGATGAGTTTGTTGAACCTGCCTAATTTTATATTATAGAATCCACAAAATATAATAGAATTGACTTAAAAAAATATTAATTTATTGTAACGCCCCCAAAGCCCCCATTGGACAGCATCACAATCTAAAATCATTCACATCATTAGAGCAACTAATAAAATTCGTAAATAAAAATAATTTCATTCATCATCCATAATGTATATAACATCATTTCAAAAGAATATGTCAAACCATGACCATTACATCCCAAAAGAATTAATTATTATCTCGCAACGGAATTACAAAATATGGTAGTTTTTACATTGTCTCAAAATAAATTCCCTAGTTTAGAACCTAAGACAAAAGAGAATATAATTCTAAACGTCCATCTCGGGATCCACGTTCCCATCTATTGGAGCTTTCCAATGTGCCTATTCATCTACTTCGAGCTCCTCTTCTAGCACACAATCTGAAAAATATGTTGCTTGTAGGGGATGAACACTAAGCTCGATAGCAACATCTTCCCAAACTCAAACAAGGTTTAGAAAACATATAAAACAGTTCAGTTTCACTTTTCAAAATATCATACATAATTTTGAAAGAAATTAAGGACATTTCAATGGATCTCAAGTTTAAGTAAGAGCAATAATTTAAACANCTTTTTATAGATTTTATATTTTACTCATTTTTGGTCATATATTCTATAATTTTTGAACCTAAGGAGACTATAACAAATCATAACAATACTCTAAAGAATCAATTTTATTTTGCGAATTTTAAGAGATTTGGTATAGGCTTTTTGTTTTTGTTTTTTTGTTCCAGTACCCAACTTGTTTGATCCAATTAATTTGGTTTTTCATAAATCATTACAGTGGGCTCAACTAATCTAAAAAAAATATATAAAACATATATAATTAAAAAATATATTTTTTTTCAGGGTGACCTCAGCCCATCCTCCCTCCACCACTGCCAGAGAAAGAGAGTGAAGAGTGAGAAGAGGAAGGTAAAATTTAATATAAATAGTATTGAAAGAGAAGTTGTTGGCCGTTGGATGAGTTTATTTAAAACTGTCGGATGAGTTTGTTGAACCTGCCTAATTTTATATTATAGAATCCACAAAATATAATAGAATTGACTTAAAAAAATATTAATTTATTGTAACGCCCCCAAAGCCCCCATTGGACAGCATCACAATCTAAAATCATTCACATCATTAGAGCAACTAATAAAATTCGTAAATAAAAATAATTTCATTCATCATCCATAATGTATATAACATCATTTCAAAAGAATATGTCAAACCATGACCATTACATCCCAAAAGAATTAATTATTATCTCGCAACGGAATTACAAAATATGGTAGTTTTTACATTGTCTCAAAATAAATTCCCTAGTTTAGAACCTAAGACAAAAGAGAATATAATTCTAAACGTCCATCTCGGGATCCACGTTCCCATCTATTGGAGCTTTCCAATGTGCCTATTCATCTACTTCGAGCTCCTCTTCTAGCACACAATCTGAAAAATATGTTGCTTGTAGGGGATGAACACTAAGCTCGATAGCAACATCTTCCCAAACTCAAACAAGGTTTAGAAAACATATAAAACAGTTCAGTTTCACTTTTCAAAATATCATACATAATTTTGAAAGAAATTAAGGACATTTCAATGGATCTCAAGTTTAAGTAAGAGCAATAATTTAAACATGTCAGAGTGATATAAATCAAACAATCATTCAACAAAGTAATCCCACATTTTCAGGTATGTTGGTTGCTTCCCATGAATCTACACCACGATTCTACCTCGTTCACCCACCATAATAGGAAGGGCGTATACCATCTCTTACGGCATTGACGAATCATTCCCAGGAAAGGTATACCATCCATCAGCCTCGAACTTACGTGAACAATAGTGGTTGCTCTCAC